CTAAACAAAGAGTGTAAAACTTTTTCCATGTGTCCATTTTAACATATCAGAGTGAAATATTGCACTGAAAATGGTAAAATCCTGAAGAAATATTCCAACAGATATCTGGGTCTACTGTTTTTTGTGTGTTGTAGGTGAAGTTGGTGATTGGAAAAACTTGTTCAGTGAAACTCAGAACCAGGAAATGGATGAAAAATTCAAAGAGTGCTTAGCAGGCACCTCCCTCGGAGCAAAGTTGAAGTATGAGTCATATTGCTAGGGTTGATTCCAGTCAATTCAGCAGGCCTAGATTTATTTTCCTTAATAATAATTAAGTTTAAATAATTAAATGATAATCAAATAATGATAATTAAACAATATTGAAATCTAAATAATACGAAACAAAATAATAATACAATTTAATAATAATGATAACATTGGAAATTTTTGAGCACAAATAAAAGTTTGTTAACTTTTTCAAGAAAGGGTATTTTAGCTGTCTCAAAGGGACTCTATTATTAATACATTGCACTGGAGTTTTAACTTATTTTGTGCTCTAGGTTCACATAAGAGGGTAAACAGATACTATCAGATACACACCTAGAGCTGTGTTTGGCCATAGATGACACAGGCCTCCAAATGATGCACAATTTTCTGTACTTTCGTCATAATATAACTCCTTTCTTACTATGGATCAAAGCACTTGGTGGCTATCTCAGACTTAATGTTGGGGGAGAGTTAATTCCAACTCTGCAATAAATTCCATTCTAATTTGGTTCAAGAAAAATGCATTGCTCATCTGCTCCATGTATGCCATTGCAGTAGGCCTTAGGAAGGCCCCTTCTCAAGGGACCTTATATTTCTACTTTATATGATCTTTAATTCAGAGCTAAAGGTAAGAGATTGTGTTATTTTACCATAAAGAGTTTTTCTTTTTCTTCTCTTTTTTTTTTTTTTGAGACAAAGTCTCACTCTGTCACCCAGGATGGGGTGCAGTGGCACAATCTCAGCTCACTGCAACCTCCACCTCTCAGGTTCAAACAATTATCCTGCCTCAACCTCCTGAGTAGCTGGGATTACAGGCACACACCACCACGCCCGGCTAGTTTTTGTTTTTTTAGTAGAGGCAGGGTTTCCCCCATATTGGCCAGGATGGTCTTGAACTCCTGACCGCAGGTGATCCAGTTGCCTTGGCCTCCCAAAGTGTTGGGATTACAGACATGAGCCATGATGCCTGGCCTATCAAGACTTTTTCTACCACAGAGCCTCAAGTAGTCATGTGGAACTAATGAGAGAAGATGGAAAATGTTCTAGAAAGAAAGAATACTGGCCGGGCGAGGTGGCTCATGCCTGTATCCCAGCACTTTGAGAGGCCAAGGCAGGCAGATCACTTGAGGTCAGGAGTTCAAGACCAGCCTGGCCAACATGGGGAAACCCCATCTCTACTAAAAATACAAAAATTAGCTGGGTGTGATGGTGTGCACCTGTAATCCCAGTTACTGGGGAGACTGAGGCAGGAAAATCGTTTAAACCCCGGAGGCAGAAGTTGCAGTGAGCTGAGATCATGCCACTGTACTCCAGCCTGGGCAACAGAGCGATACTTTGTCAAAAAAAAAAAAAAGGAAGGAGGGAAGGAAGGAGGGAAGGAAGGAAGAAAGGAAGGAGAGAAAAGAAAAGAAAAGGAAGGAAGGAAGGGAGAGAGAAAGAGAGAGAGGAAGGAAGGGAGGGAGGAGAGAAAATACTAAATAAAAAGCTAATATTTAGAGTATATAAAGAACAACTAATATCAATAGATGAAATAAAATATAGCCTAGTAGGAAAAAAAAATGTAGCCAGGTGCTGTGGCTCATGCCTGTAATCTCAGTGCTTTGGGAGGCTGAGGAGGGGGAATCACTTAAGGCCAGGAGCTCAAGACTAGCTGGAGAAACATAGCAAGATCTCATCTCTACCAAAGAAAAAATTAACCAGGCATGGTGGTGTGTGCCTATAGTACCAGCTACTCAGGAGACTGAGGCAGGAAGATTGCATGTGCCCAGGAGGTTGAGGCTGCAGAGAGCCATGATTGTGTCACTATGCTCCAGCCTGGGCAACAAAGACCTTGTCTCTTAAAAAAAAAAAAAACAAAAACAAAAAAAACAAAAAAAAAAAAACAGTGTAAAGGATATAGACAGGTAATTTATAGAAGAGGACATCCAAATGGCAAATAAATAGATAATGAGAAAAAAATGTAGTAATTAGGAAAATTGAACAACAGTCAGAGCAATACTGGGATCTCTGAGAAGGAGTAAACAAGTGAGTTGATCCCTACACCTTCCTGAGCGTGCTACCTATAGGCAGTTTCCAAGCTGCAGCATAGGGAAAGGGAACCTCATACAAAAGTCTCATAAAATTGGAGTTGGATATTGGGAGTCAGGCAGGCTGAAGAGGCTAGATTTTCAGAGCAGATTGCTGGGGAAAAGAGCACTGTATGTTAAAAATTTAACATAGCAAGAACCTCAAAGATCTGCAGAGGGAATCTTTCTAATCTTTAACTGAGTGCAGATATGTGTATGCATGGAATAAAACTTTACAAAGACAGTGTAAATTTCAAGGAAAGTCTTGCTGGAAAGCAGTGAGCCAAAGAATTTTCCTGAACTTCATCCAGAGATGGAAATAGTTCATGTTCCCACCAGTCAAAGTGGAGAGACTAATACCCAGGGCATTGGGTAGGTTTTCCAGAACAGTAGATTAGATGAAGAGGAAGAAAACAGCAGGGAACTTGAAGGCATAGCAATAGAAACTATTCTAAATGAAGACAGAAAAAAACAAACAAACAAACAAAAAAAACAGAAAAACATAAGCAGAACTTCAGTAACTTATGCGACAATATCAGGCAAATTTACATGTAATTGGAATATCAGGAAAAGGAAAGAGGTACAGAAAAAAATGGAAACTGATGACTGAAATTGTTCAAATTCAAATAACTCTAAATCTGCAGATTCAAGAAGGTCAACAAACCCCAAGCTGAATAAACATAATGAAATGGCATCAAAACACATCCTAATGCAATTGCTGAACACCAGTGACAAAGAGGAATCTTTGAGGCAGCTAAAGAAAAAGATGTTACATATAAAGAAACACGTAAGAAATACAACAGACTTCTCATCAGAAACTATGCAAGATAGAAGGCAATGGAGTAATATCTTTGAAAGACTGAAAGAAAATCTTTGTCAACCTAGAATTTGATATCAGGCAAAAATATCTCTCAGAAAAGAAGATAAATACTTTTTCTGTCAAATAAAGCCTGAAAAAAATAATTTCCAACAGATATGTACTATAGAAATACTAGAAGTTCTTTAGACAGAAGGAAAATGATGCCAGATAGAAATCTGGGTCTACACAGAGGAATGAAGAGCACCAAAAATGGCAAATGTGTGGGTATATATAAAACATATTTCCCCATGGCCAGGCGTGGTGACTCATGCCTGTAATCCCAGCACTCTGGGAGGCCAAGGCTGGTGGATCACCTGAGGTCAGGAGTTTGAGCCCAGCCTGACTAATGTGGTGAAATCCTGTCTCTACTAAAAATACAAAACTTGGACAGGTGTGGTGGTGGGCGCCTGTAATCCCAGCTACTCAGGAGGCTCAGGCAAGAGAATCACTTGAGCCCAGGAGGCGGAGTTTGCAGTAAGCCAAGATTGCCGTGCCAGTGCAGTCCACACTCCAGCCTGGGTAACAGAGTGAAACTCTGTCTAAAAAAAAAGCTGTCTTTAAAATCTCTTTAAAAGATAATTATCTATTCAAAGCAAAAGTAATAACAATGTATTTTGGGGCTTATATATAGAAGTAAATCTATGATAACAATGAGACAAAGGATAAGAGAGAAGAAATAGAAGTATACTCCTGTACATTTTGGAAATAAATTTGGTGAAGTTATTTGTGCATGTACTTCACAATCCAGCAATTACATTCCTGGGCATATATCTAAGAGAAACTCTTCCTTATTTGCATAAGGCAACAAGAAGGAAAATCTTCATTGCAGCATTGTTTGTAAATAGTGAGAAACTTAAAAACAAAACTGAGAAGAATGGATAAGAAAATTTTGAAATATTAATAGAAATAAATATTCAGCAGTTAAAATAAATGAATTAGAGCTATGTGTTTTAAGTAAATACCTTTTTTAATTTTAATTTTATTTATCATGATTATTTTTGATCCCTAGTTTGACCATGGTAAAGTAAATAAGTCTTAAAATACATAAGAATTACTTAATGGATATGAGGTTTCTTTCTGGGGTGATGAAATATTTTGAAACTACATAGTGGTTATGGTTGCACAATATTGTGAATGTACTAAGTCCCCCTAATCATATGCTTTAAAAGGGCTAGGCTGGGTGTGGTGGCTCACACCTGTAATCCCAGCACTTTGGGAGGCTGAGGTGGGCAGATCACCTGAGGTCAGGAGTATTCGAGACCAGCCTGCCCAGTATGGTGAAACCCCATCTCTACTAAAAATATGAAAAATTAACCAGGCGTGGTGGTGGGCACCTGTAATCCCAGCTACTTGGGAGGTTGAGGCAGGAGAATTGCTTGAACCTAGGAAGTGGAGGTTGGAGTGAGCTGAGATTTATGAATTAGAGCTATGTCTATTAAGTAAATACCTTTTTAATTTTTAATTTTATTTATTATGATTATTTTTGATCCCCAGGCTGACCATAGTAAAGTAAATAAGTCTTAAAATACATAAGAATTACTTAATGGATATGAGGTTTCTTTCTGGGGTGAAACCCCAGAGATTGTGCCACTACACTCCAGCCTGGGTGACAATAGCAAACTCTGCAATAGCAAAACTCTGTCTCAAAAAAAAAAAAAAAAAAAAAAAAGTTAAAATGGTGAATTTTATGGTATGTGTATTTTACCTCTTTCAAAAAAAAAATACAAAAACCAAGTTTAAAACATAGAAAGATTTTATTTTTTAAAATAAATGCATACAGAGGTAATACCCTTTAAGTCACAAATGTGAATGACTTAAATGAGTGATTATCTCTGCTGAGAAGAGGAAGAGGAATAGCATCAGGGAGAGGAACACTGGGGCCTTCATCTGTCTCCCAGTATTCATTCAACAAGCATTTGTTAAGCAGCATTTGATATAGTGGATTACGCTTTCCTCCCAGAAAAAGGTTTTTTTTTTCACTTGGCTTGTAGGATTCCACGTCTCCTTGTTTCCCTATTAGCTGCTGCCTCTCAGTGTCCTTGCCAGTTCCACTCCTCCTCCATGGCCAGTCATCATTCTAGAACAAGGATCAGCAAACATTTGTTGTGAGGGATCAGATAGTAAATATTTTCAATTTTACTGGTCATGCAGTTTCTGTCACAATGACTCAACACAACTCATTTTAGTGTCAAAGCAGCCAAAGACAATATATAAATGAATGAATGTGATTGTGCACTAATAAAGCATTATTTACAAAAACAGGCAGCAGCCCAGTTTTGGCCCAGATCTATTCCAGACAATGAAATAATTAGTGAATAAAACAGTCAAAAATCCCTGTCCATGTGACCTTACATGTTCGAGGAAGGAGACAACAAAGACAACGAATCAATAAGTTGTATTATATAATAAAAGGCTATAAGTGTCATGGAGGGGAAATAGAACAGAATGAGGGGGATAGGGAGTGACGACAGGGTGAGAGTAATGATTGGAACTTAAATAGTGTAGTCAGGGGGCTTCATGAGCAAGTGACGTTTCAACAAGATCTGTGAGTTTTGCAGATATCTGAAGGACAAGGTTCCAGGCAAAAGGAAGAGCAAGTACAAAGGCACTGAGACAGTAGTATACCTGGCATTCTTGAAAAATCACAAGGAGGACAATGTAACTAGAGGAGAATGAAAGGGGGGCGGAGAAACAAGAGACAAGGTTAGAGTGGCAACCAGGGTCCAAGAAATATAGTGTCTTGTAAGCCCTTGATGACTCTGGGCTTGACTGTTTTTTTTTTCTTTTTTTCTTTCCTTCCTTCCTTCCTTCCTTCCTTCCTTCCTTCCTTCCTTCCTTCCTTCCTTCCTTCCTTCCTTCCTTCCTTCCTCTCTTTCTCTCTTTCTCTCTTTCTTTCTTTCTTTCTTTTTTGACAGAGTCTTGCTCTGTCACCCAGGCTGGAGTGCAGTGGCATGATCTCAGCTCACTGCAACCTCTGCCTCCCAGGTTCAAGCAATGCTCCTGCCATAGCCTCTGGAGTAGCTGGAACTACAGGCATGCACCACCAAGCCCAGCTAATTTTTATATTTTTAGTAGAGACAGGGTTTTGCCGTGTTGGCCAGGATGGTCTCGAACTCCTGGCATCAAGTGATCCACCCACCTCGGCCTCCCAAAGGGCGTGTGCCACCACGCCTGGCCTTCCTGCTGTATTTCGCATGATGAAAGGGACAAGGCAGATCTCTGGGGCCTCTTTTATAAGAGCACCAGTTCCACCACCCAAAGGCCACACCTCCTAATACCATCACATTGGTGTTTAGGTTTTAACTTATGAGTTTTATGGGGGACAGAAACATTCAGACCATAGCGATGATTTTATAATAATGTGCATGTGGGGAATATTGATAAGAAGATTTTATAAGTAAGCAAGACAAATTACTAAAGCAGAAACATCTGAGGGAAAGAGCCACAAGAGATGTGGTACAACATAAATATGGACCACTCTACAATTTCCAAAAGCAAGAATAATAGTTATTATTTTTCCTCTGCTAGTAAAAAAAGAATTAAGAATAATTAATACATACAAGATTGTTTTATCTATGTCTGATTAGTTGCTTTACCATTGTACATTTTGATCTAAAAGTCACTGTGAGTATTAAAAGAGCTAGACTTATGGGATTGACTATCGGTCAAAAACCATATTGATAATCACAAAGAGTTATGTAGTAAGTAAGGCCTTGCTGAGAAGCCCATGTGGATAAACTCACACATATCCTCCATTCCTGCGATCACAGCCTCTTTATTTGTTAGAACTAGCACTGGTATAGCTAGGGAAAAGGCTAACAGAAGTCTTCTTGCTCAACTGCTTCTCAAAAGCCTCTTTAGAAGTGGGTGCCTTTGGTGAACGTTCACAACGAAGCCCGATATGCAACAGCCACTGGCTCCATACAAGCCACTGAAGGAGGGGCCTTTGGAGTTTCTTGGGGGCCATGGTTATGGAGTAAGTGACTAGGTTGCATAAGATGAATCGACTCCAATATTCCTGACTCCCTAAGTATTTTTGATTTCTTTATCTGCATTACTTGGCATTACATGTTCCTTTAGTGTGAGCTGCCACTGAGCTCAGATTATAGTAAACCAACTGGGCAAACTGGCTAAGCGCTCCCACTGCTAGAGATAGTACATCAACTTTCTTTTCTTTTTTTTTCCTTTTTTCTCGCTCTGTTGCCAGGCTGGAGTGCAGTGGCACGATCTTGGCTCACTGCAACCTTCGACTCCCTGGTTCAAGCAATTCTCCTGCCTCAGCCTCCCAAGTAGCTGGGATTACAGGCACATGCTACCACGCACAGCTAATTTTTGTATTTTTAGTAGAGACGGGGTTTCACCATATTGGCCAGGATGGTCTTGATCTCCTGACCTCATGATCCACCCGCCTCGGCCTCCCAAAGTGCTGCGATTACAAGAGTGAGCCACCCCGCTCAGCCTCAACTTTCAACTTCCTTCGTGTCATCTTTAGACTCACCGTCATGCCTGTTTCTTGCTTTCTGTTGCTCTTTTGTTGTCTAAAGCGTCTCCCCTCAATCAGATCTTGTCCATATCCTCTTGGAGTGCATTAGCATCTGATTCTAGTTCTAGGAGTGAAGGCACAGGTAGAGATAGGGTATTTGGAGAATCAGCACCTCCTTGCAGGGTGACTGTTTCATGCTCTTCAATGTAGGCTGTACCAGCCTTATCAGACAATGGTGGGAAGCCTGTGGAGACACAGCAGAATTTAGGAGGGCAGTGGCACTTGAATTCATTCAAATCCACCCAAATTCCCAGGGCTTCATTCTTTTACAGTCAATGCCCTCAATGTTCATAGAAGAGACCTGATGAGTCTGCAAATTAAATTTATATTGTAATTCTAGGCCGGGCATGGTGGATCACGCCTGTAATCCTGGCACTTTGGAAGGCCGAGGAGGGGAAATCACTTGAGGTGAGGAGTTCCACACCAGGCTGGCCAATATGGTGAAACCCTTCCCTACTAAAAATACAAAAATTAGCTGGGTGTGGTGGCGCATGACTGTAATCCAGCTACTTAGGAGGCTGAGGCAGGGAAATTGCTGGAGCCTGGGAGGCAGAGGTCGAAGTGAGTCAAGATCGTGCCACTGCACTCCAGCCTGGGTGACACAGCGAGACTCCACCTCAAAATAATTATATTGTAATTCTGGTACCTGCAGCACCAAGCTTTGCACCTGGGGAGCCCAGACGGTAGGGAATTGGGCTCCTCAGGGAGCCCAATATGCTCACACTCTGCCCATTCCAAGAGGTTCACCCATATCGTATCATTCCCCTAGACCTCATCACCAACCCTCTGATATCATTCCTTCCAAATCTTTCCCCAGTAGAGAAGGCAGATTTTACATCACCCCTGAGGCTAGGAGGGTTTTCTGGTGCAGTCATAAAAGCTTGCGTCCTCTGATCATGCTTGAGCTTGTCATTTTTCATTCTTTAAGCTCTCTTGGGCAGTTCAGGGGCTCAAAAAGTCAGAAAAACTTGTCCTTGCTACTGCCATTGCTGCTGCCACAGCCACCCCAACACCCACAAAGCTGACAAATGGACACCCAGCACTGTCAGAGTTTTCTTGTCACCTGGAAATGCCACAAAAAATGGTTCTACCTCATGTCCACCTTCTAAACCTCCCGCCAGTGCTTTACATTTGAGGGACTTAAACTATGCCCAGGACCTGAGCTACAGTGTAGATTTTAGTTGTTGATACCCTGCAATGCGGGGTTGTAGGGGGATGGAGAAGGGAGGCTGGAGTAGATGGCTGCCTAGGTATAATGTTCTTTTTTTTTTTTTTTTGAGATGGAGTCTCACTCTGTAGCCCAGGCTGGAGTGCAGTGGCACGATCTCAGCTCACTGCAACCTCTGCCTCCCAGGTTCAAACAATTCTCCCTGCCTCAGCCTCCGGAGTAGCTGGGATTACGGGTGCCCGCCACCACGCCTGGCTAATTTTTGTGTAGTTTAGTAGAGATGGGGTTTTGCCATGTTGGCCAGGCTGGTCTTGAACTCCTGACCTTAGGTGATCTGCCCCCCCTCGGTCTCCCAAATTTCTGGGATTACAGGCATGAGCCACTGCACCGGCCTAGGCATAATATTTAAAGTATATTTGAGGTCTGTCTTGGGACCACCTCCCTCTCTTATCCCAGCTAAGATATTGAGAGTACAGACTCCTGGTTATAGTTCTAACTCCGCTGCTTACTAGTTGTGTTAATCTAACTCCTCTGTGCCTCAATACTCATTAGTCACTGTGCCAATGACTGTGGAACTCTGTGTGACTCTGGGAGTGTGTCACAGTCCATCAGGTGAGTAGAATTTCTATAAATCGAGGACTACTGGTGTTGGACTATAGTAGGAAACTCCCTGGGGTACTGTAGGGAGCAGGTGGCTCTCTTTAACAGCAGGACTGGCCCGCAGGTGCTTTTACAGCGGCTGACAAGTGTCTGCTCATGAGTGAATGGATGGGTGGGAGCAGAGTGAAGGAGATTACGCCCCCAGGCCTCGCATCCCCAGCCTTGTAAAAGTGAGGGGGCAGTGGTGTGGCAAGTGGGGAGGGGCGCTTTGGTGTTTACAGGCCTGGACTTTAACTGAATCCTGGCTTTCCCACTTACGAGCCGCTGGACCCCTAGGTAAGTTCATTTACTCAATTTCCTCTATTGTAAAATGGAGCTGCTAAGACCCATCTTCCCAACCCCTCTCCAAATATTTGTGTTTAGAGTAAGTGGAACCCTTGATTCCAGAACCTAATGCAGCCAAAGCCACCTGCTCCAGGAGCCCCGGGGCGGGGAGGGGGAGGCGGTTGGGGGTGCGGGGTCCTGGCCGCGCAGTGGCTGCACATGGGTGACAAGCCCGCCCGCCAGTGCCGGCCGCCGGCGCCTCTCGCGCGCACTCTGGATCCAGTGCCAATTTACCCCAATCCCGTAGCAGACGAGGGCTTGTGCGAGAGGGGGCCGGGCGGCTGCAGGGAAGGCGGAGTCCGAGGGGAAAACGAAACTGAGAGTCAGCTCTCCCGAAGCTGCGGATCTCTGGCCGGCGGCGGCGGCGGCGGCGGCGGCGCAGGTGAGCGGGGCCGGGGGCAGCCGAGGGAGCGCAGGGAGCAGGGGCCGGGGGGCCACGGGATAGGGGCTGCGGGCCCAGCCGGGGCGGGACCCGCCGATCCTGCGTCCCCAGCTCAGGACGCGGAAGCTGATCCGAAGCCCCTGGCCCCGGCTGGGTCAGCAATGGGAGAGCAGTCCGAGGCCCACAGCCCGGGTGTGGGGCCCTCCCTGAATCCAGGGAAAGGATCGTGGAGCGGGATGGGGACTGAAAGACATTTTCTTCCCGCGAAGAATTTTTATCAGTGCAAGTAACAAATATTTCCTAGGCAGCGGTTGTGGGGCTGGGTCTAGTGGATGATGAATAGGCCTAGTGGCTTGACATATGGAAAATACGGAGGCCTGAAATACTCATAGACTGGCTGAACAATCTCTGGCTAAAAATCTCTTGCATGGAGAGTTGCAGTAGTTTCCCAATTGCCTGGCCTCGGTTCCTGTTCCCACTCGTCTCCTTACCCCCGAACCTCCACCCCCTACCTCTTCTACACACCTCAGCAACTGGAATGTTCCTTTAAGTAAGAACCAGACTCTGCCCTGCTCAGACCTTCCCCATAGCTTTCCTGTCTCGTCAGAATCCTATAAACATTTATTAAGGCTCACCGGCAAGGTCCCTTGCACCCCCTACTCCGCCCATGCTAGCTTCCTTGCTGTTCCTGGCGCACAGCCAAGCATCCTCCAGCCTCTAGGCCTTTACACTGGCCTGTTTCTTCTTCCTGGAAAGCTTCTCCCTCAGATACTTGCATGGGGAAACCCCTCCCTTATCCTACACTGCTTCCCATGCCAGCTTATCAGAGCAGACTTCCTCAAACAACCTGCATATGCAAGAAACCCCACTCTGCCCTTGCTGTTCCCCCTTCCACTACCTCAATTTTCAACATAGTAGTTACCACCTGGTGATATCTTTTCTTTTCTTTTTTCTTTTCTTTTCTTTTTTTTTTCTTTCTTTTTCTTTTCTTTTTTTTTTTTTGAGACAGATTCTCACTCTGTTGCCAGGCTGGAGTGCAGTGGTGCGATCTTGGCTCACTGCAACCTCCGCCTCCCGGGTTCAAGCGATTCTCTTGCCTCAGCCTCCCGAGTAGCTGGGATTACAGGTGCCCACCACCACAGCCAGCTAATTTTTTAATTTTTAGTAGCAACGGGGTTTCACCATATTGGCCAGGCTGGTCTCAAACTCCTGACCTTGTGATCCCCCACCTCAGCCTCCCAAAATGCTGGGATTATAGGCATGAGGCACTGCGCCCGGCCACCCGGTGACATTTTCTTATGGGTTGTTCCTCCACTGGTAATTTCACAATTACCTATAGCAGGGTTCACTAGTATAGTCCCAGCACCTAGTACATAATAGGTGCTGATTAAATGTTTGCTAAATGAATGGTAATTCAAAAACTCCCTTTTGAATTCCAAAATAATGAGGCGTCCTGTTGCCCATGTTTCCTTCTTTCCTTCCTTCCTTCCCTCCCTCCCTCCTTTCTTTTCTTTTTCCTCTTCTCTTCCTTCCTTGTTTCCTTGTTTCCCTCTCTCTCTCTCCCTTCTTTGTTCTTTTCTTTCTCCTTTCAAGATGGAGTCTCACTCTGTCGCCCAGGCTGGAGTATAGTAGCTTGATCTCGGCTCACTGCAACTTCTGCCTCCAGGGTTCCAGTGATTCTCCTGCCTCAGCCTCCTGAGTAGCTGGGATTACAGGCACACACTACCACACCAAGCTGATTTTTATATTTTTAGTATATTTCATCATGTTGGCCAGGCTGGTCTCGAACTCCTGATGTCAGGTGATCCACCTGCCTCGGCCTCCCAAAGTGCTGGGATTACAGGCATGAGGATTACATGGCCCCATGTTTTCTTTAGTACTAAAAATGCCATGCCAGATGGAAGGTAAAAGACAGGCTCTCTGATGTCACTTGGAAATTTAGAATCTTGGGCAGATTATGCTATTGTTTTTCAGTTTGTTTATTTGAACCTGGAGATCCTGAATACTTGACCTGTAGTTTGTTTGTTTGTTTGTTTGTTTATTTATTTTAGATGGAGTCTTGCTCTGTTGCCCAGGCTGGAGTGCAGTGGTGCAGTCTCAGCTCACTGCAACTCTGCCTCCAGGGTTCAAGTGATTCTCCTACCTCAGCCACCTGGGTAGCTGGGATTACAGGCATGCACCACCATGCCCAGCTAATTTTTGTATTTTTAGTAGAGACGGGGTTTCCCCATGTTGGCCAGGTGACCCACCCACCTCGGCCTCCCAAAGTGCTGGGATTACAGATGTGAGCCACCGCCCCCCACCGTTTATTCATTTATTAATCAGATGCTAGTTGAAGGAATGATCTATGTGAAGCAATGTGCTGGCCCTGGAGGGGACTAAGCCTGCAGGGCGACTATAGTCGCTGGAAGGGAGTGGAGGCATAGCCGAAGTAATGTCTGGGCATTAGTAAGATGGACAAATATCATTTTTTAGTGATTATGATGGAGGTTTCTTCCAGATGAGTGAATAAGATGTAGAATCTGCTCCCCAAATAACTCACTAACTAGTTTAAAAAGCAGTCAGGGCTGTGATGAAGGTTGGGCAAGGTGGAGTGGCAAGCCCATACTAGCTGACCCTCCAGCATCAAAGAAGGCTGTGTTGATCCTGATTGATGAGTGGAGATTGGGAGATTGGTGGGTACAGAGAGAATGCAGATATTGCACTATAAATTTAGAGGAAAGCAGGTGACAAGTCCTGGATGGGGTATCTGGAGATATTTTGGTACTCATTCATTCATTATTGAGCCTGGTCCCTTACCTCTAGTAATTCAGGCTCTATTTTAGAAAATAGAGCTTATTAAATAGGTGATTTTAATAAAGGGGATGAGCACTGTGGAAGAACCTGTGAAGGAGTGTCTGGGATTTTGAGCTGAAATCTGTAGGAAGTAGAAATTGACCAGGCCAAGAGAGCGGAAGGAGTAGAGTCAAGGGCATTTTAGCAGGGAGCAGGTTGGACAGAGGCAGTTAGGAGTTCAGGAGAGAGTCCATGGTGGAGGCATGCTTTTGAGAACCATCATTGTGTCTGTGGAATTTAAAACCACAGACCCGGAGGTGATCACCAGGGGAGTGAGTCTAAGTAGAAAAGAACAAGTCTAAGGACCAGGCCCAGTGATGCTGGAATATCTAGAAAAGGGGAAGTTAGCACCATAGGAAGGGTTAAAAAAAAATAAATGGAAGAAAGGAAGTTGAAGAGGAACCAGAAAAGGAGACAGAAAAGGAGTAGCTTGTGAGAACAGAAGAAAACCAGGGCCAGGTGCCGTGACTCATGCCTGTAATCACAGCATTTTGGGAGGCCAAGGCGGGCGGATCATCTGAGATTAGGAGTTCGAGACCAGCCTGGCCAACAATGGGGAAACCCCATCTCTACTAAAAATACAAAAAAATTAGCCAGGTGTGGTGGTGGGCGCTTGTAATCCTAGCTACTCGGAATGCTGAGGCAGGAGAATTGCTTGGACCTGGGAGGCAGAGGTTGCAGTGAGCCAAGATGCCACCATCACACTACAGCCTGGGCAACAAGAGCAAAACTCTGTCTCAAAAGAAGAAAACCAGGAGAGTGGGTGTCTTAAAAGTCCAAGCTAAGACAGGGAGAGGAGAGAGAAGAGGATGTGCAACCACATCAACACATCAAATGCTGGTTGTAGGTTGAGTAGAGAAGGACTGAGAACTGACTACTGGATTTAGTGATGGGGAAGCCATTGGTAACCTCGACAAAAACAATCTCAGTGGCTTGTGGAGACTGCATGATTGAATTGATGTGTGTGTGTGTGTGTGTGTGTGTGTGTGTTTCTTTTTGAAATGGAGTTTTGCTCTTGTTGCCCAGGCTGGAGTGTAATGGTGCGATCTCGGCTTAATGCAACCTCCGCCTTCCTGGGTTCAAGCGATTCTCCTGCCTCAGCCTCCCGAGTAGCTGGGATTACAGGCATGTGCCACCACCCCGGCTAATTTTGTATTTTGTAGTAGAAACGGGATTTCTCCATGTTGGTCATGCTGGTCTTGAACTCCTGACCTCAGGTGATCCACCCGCCTTGGCCTCCCAAAGTGCTGGGATTACAGGCATGAGCCACCGCACCTGGCCGCTGAATTGATGTTTTAAAAAGATCATGATGTGTCTGTATTAAAAAAGAAAACAGATAATAACAAGTGATGGTGAGGACGTGGAGAAATTAGAACCCTCGTGCATTGCTGGTAGAAATGCAACATGGGTGTAGCCACTGTGGAAAACAATTTGATGGTTCATCACAAAGTTAAACAGAATTACCATGTGATTCAATTCCACTTATAGGTATATACCACTAATATTCAGAAGTAGGGACTTAAACAGATAGATTTATACCAATGTTCACAGCAGCATGATTCATGATGGCCAAAAGGTTGAAATAACCAGTGTCCATTCATAAATGAATGGATAAACAAAATGTGGCATATACACACAATGGAATATTATTCAGCCTTGAAAAGGAAAGAAATTCTGACATATACTACAACATAGATGAACCTTGAAGACATTATGCTAAGTGAAATAACCAGACACAAAAGGACAAATACTGTTTGAGTCCACTTATCTGAGGTACCTAGAACAGGCAAATTTATAGAGACAGAAAAGAGATTAGAAAATATAAAAAATTAACCAGGCATGGTTCCCACGCCTATGGTCCCAGCTACTTGGGAGGCTGAGGTTGGAGGATCGCTTGAGCCCAGGAGTTTAAGGCTGCAGTAAGCTGTGATCACACCACTGCACTCCAGCCTGGGCAACAGAGCGAGACCCTGTCTCAAAAAAAAAAAAAAAAAAAAAAAAAAAAAAAAAAAAAAAGAGGTTAGCAGAGACTGAAAGGACTGGGAAATTGGGAGTTGCTGTTTAATGGGTACAGACTTTCTATTTGGAAAGATTAAGAGTTCTAGATGTGGATGTGGTGGCAGCTACACAACATTGTGAATGGACTTAAAGGCAGGGAATTAATACATTGAAAAAGAATACATTTCATGTTATATATATTTTATCACAATTTTAAAACATAAAAAAAAATTAAAAAAAAAATCACATTGGTTGCAGGGTAGAGAAGGAATTGAAGTAGCTGTTGGAACTGGTTCTGAGATTCTCACAGCAATCCAGGAATGAGGTGATGGTGACTTGAACTAGGATGGTAAGTGTAGACATCTTTGGGAAGTAGAAAGATTTTGATGATAGGACTTAGTTATAGATTAGAAGGCAGGGAGAGGAAATGTCAAGGATGCCTCCCAGATTCATGGCTTTCAGACTTGGATAGATGGTGGAGTCATTTCCTGTGAAAGGAAACTTCAAACCAGCTTGGGAGAAGATCATAAATACAGTACAGGATATTTTGAGTTTAAAGTTTGTTCAAGATGTTCAAGTGGAGAATTTGGATAGAGAGATCTGGAACTCAAAGCGGTTCATAAGGAATATATAAATGTTGGAGGTAATGGCATATAGATGATCATTGAAATCATGGACATGAAAGAAATCACCTTAAGGAGAAAGTATAGAGTGAAGAGAAGAGGATTGTTGGACCATGCCAGCATTTAGAGCCTGCAAAGATTAAGGTGTGTTAAAAAGAGTGGCCCGGCCAGGCGTGGTGGCCCACACCTGTAATCCCAGCACTTTGGGAGGCTAAGGCTGGTGGATACTGGAGCTCAGGAGTTGGAGACCAGCCTGGCCAACACAGGGAAACCTCAAAAATACAAGATTTAGTATGGTGATGGGCACCTGTAGTCCCATAGTCCCAGCTACTTGAGAGGCTGCAGCAGGAAGATTGCTTGAACCTGGGAGGCAGATGATGCAGTGAACTGAGATCACGCCACTGCACTCCAGCCTGGGCAACAGAGTGAGGGCCTGTCTCAAAAACAAAAAACAGAAAGAGTGGCCCGGGAAGAAAGAAGATCAAAAGAGCTTTCCAAGAAGAATTAACAGTTTTACAGGATCTGATTTCTGTCTTTATGGATTTACCTATTCTGGAAGTTTCATATAAATGGGAATCATGCAATATATGTGAACTTTTATGTCTGGATTTTTCATTTTGCATAATGTTTTTGAGATTTGTCCATGTTGTAGCGTGTATCAGTACTTCATTTCTTTTGTGACTGAATAATATTCCACTGTGTAGATATATTTCACATTTTGTTCGCCATTTATCCATTGATGGACACTTGGTTTGTTTCCACCTTTTGGCTATTGTTAACAGTGCTGCTATGGACATTCCTGTCTAAGTATTTGCTTGAAAACCTGTTTTCCAATTCTTTGAAATACCTAGGAATGGAATTGCTAGGTTTTATGATAATTCAAAGTTTACCTTCTAGAGGAACCCCAGCAACTGTATTGTTTTACATTCCTATCAGCAATGTTTGAGGGGTCCAGTTTTTCCATGTCCTCACCAACACTGATTTTTTTATCATTATTTCCTGATTATTATTATTATTGCCATACTAGTGGGTGCGAAACGGTATTTAGTTGTGGTTTTGAATTCCATTTCTTTAATGACTCATGATGTTGAGTATCTTTTCATGTGCTTATTGGCCATTTACATATTTTCTTTGGAGAGATGTCTGTTCAAGTCCCTTTGCCTATTTTTTAATTGGGTGGTTTGTCTTTTTGTGTTGAGCTGCAAGAATTCTTTATCTATCTGGTTACTAGACCCTCATCAGATATATGATTTGCAAATATTCTATTCTGTAGATTGTCATTTTATTTTCTTCATAGTGTCCTTTGATACACAAAAGTTTTTAATTTTGATGAAGCCCAATTTATCTCTGTTTTCTTTTGTTGCTTGTGCTCTTGCTGTCATATCTAAGATTTTATCACCAAATCCAAAGTCATGAAGATCTACCCCATATTTTCTTCGAAGAGTTTTATAGTTTTGGCTTGTACATTTATATTTTATATCCTCTAAATTTTGTTGATAATTTAAATCATTGCTATAGACTTGGTCCAGTGAGACCTAGCAACAGAGGTCTTAATTTACATAGTGGTTAAATTGTCCTAAAATTGATTTCTGCAAAATTCAGAGGGGAGATTTTTGAGATGTCATAGGGAAATCCATGTCCATACAGTTAAATCCTTCATGATTTCATACACTTATTTTTTTTTAGTATAAAACTTTTTTATTTGAAGAATCATTGGGGAGAAGAGAAATATATTTTAGCACTTAGATATGTAGAGCGTTTCCAAAATAGTTTAGCACTCAACTAGTCAGTTCTATGAAAATCAGTTTTCCCTGAAGCACGCATTGCTCCCAGCTACAAGCGGTCCTCATATTGCATGGTACTGTGGGACCAGAAAAATGGCCATGCAAAGCAACCTTAATAATCAATGGGGAAAATGATAATTGTTCCATGACCTTTAAAATTCTCCTAAAATATTTAAAACTCTTAAGATCAGTTGTAAATGTAGAAAAAATGCAAAAAAGTTTAAAAATGTTTAGTTCTCTGTGAAAAGTAGTTTGAATAGAGATTGCCTTTTTTCCTGCCAAGTAACTTACGATACTGAGTAAGCATCTTTTCTATTCATGGTAAACTGTCATACTCCTTTGAAGTTTGGGTCAGCTTCCACCCTTTTATTGCTTGTGTTTCAATGCTGTGAAGTATTTCTGTATTCACATTAAATATTCTTTAGCGTGAAGTTTTTTTTTTTTTTTTAACCATCACTTCCTCTGGGACATATTTATCTTTATTGCAATCACTTTTCTTATTTGTGTTGGTAAGTTTGCCTTCGCTAAGCTCCTACGAGTGCACAGCAGCAAGAACAACATTCCTGTAATCAGTGGCTTCTTCTACAAATCCATTTATGTTTGATTCAAATTTCACTTCCAGTGTTATCATTTTTCATTGCTTTGCTGGACTTTCATCTTTGTTGGCCAGTTCTTTCAATGGTTCACTTCTATAAAATGTCAAGTGGAGGACAAAGAGACAGCGTAACAACGTGCTCTGCTGTGAGTGAACTGAATAACAGATGCACAGGGACCAACCACTGGAAGAATTTGAAAGAAGTAATACAACCGGTCACTGATCATGAAGCGTATCTGTTATTTACATCGTGATTTGTAGACTGAAGAACTAGCAGAGAAGTTTGTACTTCATGTAATTACTCAGAGTTATACTGTGCTAACTAAAATTTTAACCTAGGATTAAACAACACCAGTTCCCTTTCCTTCATGGTAAGGAAACTGGTATTTAAACTAAACTTAGGTCACTGAAATTTGTGCACATGGGAACCGTGCAAATCAAGGACTGCCTATACTCAACTTGTTTATACTGGTCCAGACAGGCTTAACGCTGACTACTGAGAAATAGCCTATCTGAATTTATATGAAATAGTGAATCTTAAAGCACCCAAGATGAAAAATTAGTGCACATTGAGGTGGTTTTAAAATCTTTGTCGTTTGACAATCAAGCTTAAAATGTATCTTAGAGTAACAGAATTTTAGAATTAAAGACCTTTAAAGGCCGCCTAGTTTGATACCACAGATTATCCAGCATGTTTATTATGAATTATTTCTCCTCCTTCAATTTCAGTTTGCTTATACAGCCACTTGCGATCACAGTGGCATTCAGCTCCACACTTGGAGGCAGGACAACGCAGGCAGGACAAGCATAGAAACATCCTAAGCAATCTTCATCGAGGCAGTCACAGGGTTCCATCCCACTAAAAATCAGGAGACCCTGGCTATCATAGACCTTAGTCTTCACTGGTATCACTTGTCTGTCTGAACCAGCGGTTGCATTTTTTGTAAGCCTTCTTTTTTCTCTTTTACCAGTTTCTGGAGCAAATTCAGTTTGCCTTCCGGATTTATAAATTGTAATGACCTCAAAGCTTTAACAGTTCTTCCATCTGACTCAGATTTCCTTCTCTGGCGGTCTTCAGAATTGACATCCACACTTCTGTGATTATCTGCTTGCATTTTGGACACAGCTTCTAACCAGGTACAAGCTGTCTTTTGAATTTTGCACTCAGAAAACTGGCATCATCTAAGGCAATTACATGCAAATTTTGGGGGGCTAGTTTTTTGTGTATGGTAATGGGTCACAACACGACTTCTGTAAATCCTCAAATCTGTCAATATAAATTTTTATGTGATTAAAGCAAATTGTATTGTTCCTAGAAAGTGTCATTCCAGTTCTGAGTTGAAGTAAAAGCATATTATTTGATGACAGTTCTTGCAAAGTCTTAAAACCTGTGTGACCAGTATAGTAGGTTTTATGGCACTCATTTGTAGTACAAAGCTGGACTCCAACTGAACATCGATCCATCATTCTTGATTCTGACATATTTTCCTTGTTTTATTTTGTCCAGAGATCTAGGTCACGGGCTGATCACCCTTAGTTTGAGCTCTCCTCCACCCGGCTTCGGGCAGGATCTGCGTCCACACAGGCTACACTCGCCCACCCGTTTCCCAGCCTGTCCCCGTGCTACCACTCCACTTTACTTATTACATATACTCTAAACTTTTTTCTTCTAAACATAAAACATTCTACACTCCTGCAGCCTTTTTACTTCTTTAAGCAGGTAGACAAACATGTAGTTGATACTAAGTGGAAGCACAGGGCAGAGTTAAAGAGAAGGACCCCCTTTCACTGACCAGCTGAGTTTTTTTTTCTTTCCTTTATTTTTTAAAACAATTCTGAAATTGACACGGGGTTTTGCCGTGTTGCCCAGGCTGGTGTTGAACTCCTGAGCTCAGGTGATCCGCCCGCCTTGGCCTCCCAAAATGCTGGGATTTTATAGGTGTGAGCCACCACCCCTGGCCAAGTTGAGTTTTCAAAGTAGAAAATTTGGAGAAATTAACTTTATTGTGCAGTGAGTGAGAAAGAAAGAACAGTTTTGAAAGAAAGTCTCTGCATTTATGTGGGACTGAGATGAGTCCTATAAAGGAGAGTCTCCCCAACCCCTCTGTCTCCTAAACTGCACTGGGAAACTCAGGTTAAATGTGTTCTGTTAGCATCACTCATTCAAATGTCTCTTCCACTGTAGGATACTGGAAGAAATGGCTGGTCATCTTGTACCAGGTTTCTACATGGAGGAACTTAATAAATACCGTCAGAAGCAGGGAATATCATTGAGCTATCAAGAACTGCCTAATACAGGACCTCCACATGATAGGAGGTAAGTTGCTATAAACAATGATATGATCTTATAAATGTAAACTGGGGGAATGGCAACTCTGGCACAACTTTGAGGTCAACACTTTTGTTTTGTGAGAGTCCGCTTGGCGTAAAGCGGTAACCACTTTGGAGCCACAGATGATTCCAGAGAGAAGAGAGGGTAGAAACCTTTCCACACTTCAACAAGACATGCTGTTTTACTGCTTGGGGTGACTGCTTCCATTCTATGTTGAATGTACGTTCAAACCCTCAAAGGTAGTCATAGGAGGTAGTGGTAACTAGAGCACTTGTTTTTAGATAGTGCATGAGTTGTATAATATTTTATGAATATTCTTTTTGTAATCAGGTTTACATTTCAAGTTGTAACAGATAGAAGAACATTTCCAGAAGCTGAAGGTAGATCAAAGAAGGAAGCAAAAAATGCTGCAGCCAAATTAGCTGTTGATATACTTAATAAGGAAAGCGAGGTGAGTGATTGCCTTTTTTTCCTAGTAAATGGGAACTTGCAAATGCATTTTCTATTTCTCTCTGTGAGAAAATACTTCCATACAGAGTAAAGCCATTCACACGTTACCTTACATTCAAGAGTTTGGTTCAGTCATTCCCCCCATCTTCATTTCTATGAAACCCTGAGTGAGAGCTGCACACCCAGGACGCCGTGGGCAAAGCTGGAGAATAGTTATTCAGAGTGTCAGCAGCAGTTAAATACTCTAAAATTGAACAAATATGGAAAGATGAGAAGTGTTCAGTGGGAAATGAGCTGACAGGTTCTGGGATGAGTCCCCTCCATCTAATTGAGGAAGTGCAGTAAAAGAGGAAAAAGAGATGAAAGTGATTATAGGGAGAATGATGTACAGCGGTCACTCACTGTCTGCGGGGAATTGGTACCAGGACTCCCTGTGGATGCCAAAATCCACTGATGCTCAAGTCTTTTATATAAAATGGCATAGTATTTGCATATAACCTATTTGCATCTTCCCATATACAGTTATGTGTTGCTTAACAAGGAGAATACATTGTAAGAAATGCATTCTTAGGCAATTTTCTCATTGGGCAAACAACACAGAAGTACTTACACAATCCTAAATGGAGCAACCACTACGCACCTAGGCTATGTAGTATAGCCTATTACTCCTAGACTACACACCTGTACAGCATGTTATTATACTGAAAACTGTAGCCAATCGTAACACAATTTAGTATTCATGTATCTAAACATATCTAAATATAGAAAAAGTACAGTAAAAATACAGTATAAAAGACAAAAGGCTGGGCGCGGTGGCTCACACCTGTCATCCTAGCATTTTGGGAGGCTGAGGCAGGTGGATCACCTGAGGTCAGGAGTTGAAAACCAGCCTGGCCAACATGGTGAAACCCTATCTCTACTAAAAATACAAAAAATTAGCTGGGCGTGGTGGCGGGCACCTGTAATCCCAGCTACTTGGGAGGCTGAGGCAGGAGAATTGCTTGAACCCGGGAAACAGAGGTTGCAGCGAGCCTGAGGTCGTGCCATTGCACTCCAGCCTGGGGACCCTGTCTCAAAAAGAAAAAAAAAAAGACAAAAGTACACCCATATAGGGCACATACCATGCATAAATAGAGCTTGCAGGACTGGAAGTTGCTCTGAGTGAGTCAGTGAGTGGGTGGTGAGTGAATGTGAAGGCCTAGGGCATTATTGTATACCACTGTAGACTTTATAAACACTGTATACATAAGCTACATTCATTTTATTAAAAATTTTTTTCTTCAATAATAAATTAACCTTAGCTTACGGTAACTCTTTTACTTTATAAACTTCTTATTTTTAACATTTTGACTCTTTCCTAATAACACTTAGCTTAAAACACAAACGCAGCCAGGCGCAGTGGCTCATGCCTGTAATCCCAGCACTTTGGGAAGCCGAGGCGGGTAGATCACCTGAGGTCAGGAGTTTGAGACCAGCCTGGCCAACACGGTGAAACCCTGTCTCTACTAAAAATACAAAAATTAGCCAGGTGTAGTGGGGGTCGCCTGTAATCCCAGCTACTTGGGAGGCTGAAGCAGGAGAATTGCTTGAACTCAGGAGGCGGAGGTTGCAGTGAGCCGAGATCATGCCACTGCATTCCAGCCTGGGCAACAGGGCAAGACTCCATCTCAAAAAAACAAAACAAAACAAAAACGAAAACAAAAACACATAGTATGGCTGTACAAAAATATTTTGTTTTGTTACATCTTTATTCTATAAGCTTTTTTCTATTTTTAGAATTTTAAACTTCTTTTTTTTTTTTTTAACTTTTAAACTTTGTTGTTAAAAAATTAAAACATGATTGGGCACAGTGTTTCATGCCTGGGATGTCGAGGAGCCATGATTATGCCACTGTACTCCAGCCTGGGTGACAGAATGAGACCCTGTCTCAAAAAAAAAAAAAAAATGCTGGGCATGGTGGTTCATGCCTGTAATCCCAGCACTTTGGTAGTCAAGGTAGGTGGATCACTTGAATTTGGGAGTTTGGGATTAGCCTAGGCAACATGGTGAAACCCTCTCTGTACTAAAAATACAAAACACTAGCCAGGCTTGGTGGCACGTGCCTGTTGTTCCAGCTACTCAGGAAGCCGAGGCAGGAGGATCATGTGCCTGACATGTCATGGCTGCAGTGAGCTGTGATCTTGTGACTACACTCCAGCCTGGGCAACAGAGCAAGACCCTGTCTCAAAAAAAAAGAAAGAAAAAAATTACAACACACACACACACACCAGCCTGCCTACACAGCATCAGGATCATCAGCGTCACTGTCTTCCACCTCCACATTTTGTCCCTCTGGAAAGTGTTCAGGAGCAAAAACATACATGGAGCTATTCTTTCCTATTGTAGCAATTCCTTCTTTTGGATTACCTACCGAAGGACCTGCCTGAGACTGTTTTACAGTTTACTTTTTTTTTTTTTTTAAGTAGAAAGAGTGCCTTCTAAAATAATGATTAAAAAGTATAATAAATATAAACCAGTAACAGTTACTTATTATTATCCAGTATTATGTACTGTACATAATTGTATGTGCCAGACTTTTTTATAAGACTGTAGCACAGTAGATTTGTTTAGAGCAGTGTCACTGCAAACATGTGAGTAATGCATGGTGCTGTAACCCAGGAGTTTGAGATTGGCCTGGGCAATATGGCGAAACCCTGTCTGTACTAAAAATACAAAAAATTAGCCATTATAGTGGCTATGACCTCACTAGATGACAGTAATTTTTTAGCTCCATTATAATCTTACGGGACCACTGTCATATATGCAGTCCATTGTTGACCAAAATGTCATTATGCAGTACATGATTATCCTTTAGATCATCTCTAGATTACTTATAATATCTCTAATACAATGTAAATGCTATGTAAATAGTTTTTTGTTGTTGTTGTTTTTTGAGACAGGGTCTTACTATCACCTAGGCTGGAGTGCAGTGGCATGATCAAGGCTCACTGCAGCCTCAGTCTCCCCAGGCTCAGGTGATCCTCCCACCTCAGCATCCCAACTGACTCGGACTACAGGCACGAGCCACCACACCTGGCCAATTTTTGTATTTTTTGTAGAGATGGAATCTCACTATGTTGTCCAGGCTGGTCTTGAACTCCTGAGCTCAAGCGATCCGCCCACCTCAGCCTCCCAAAGTGCTAGGATCGCAGGTGTGAGCCACCACAGCCAGCTATAAGTAGTTGTTATGCTGTATTGTTTAGGGAATAATGACAAGGAAAAAAACTGAATATGTTTAGTACAGATGCAACCAGCAATTTTTTTCAAATATTTTTGATTGTGATTGGTGAATCCAGGGATTTGGAACCCGTGCATATAGAGAGCCAAGTGTTTACAGAGAGCAGATAATGGAGAACCAATATACATGTGACTGGTGTCCCTGAAAATAAGAACAGAGTAAATAGTACAGAAGAAAATGATCTGAAGAGATTTCAGCAGAAAATGTTTATGAAATAAAGACTTGGCTACAGATTAAAACAACTTAATAGATACAGGAAAATTTAGAAACACCCAGACCAACATTGATTCTTTTTTTCTCTTTTATTTTTTATTTTTGAGACAGAGTCTCGCTCTGTTGCCCAGGCTGGAGTGCAGTGGCACAATCTCTGCTCACTGCAACCTCCGCCTCCCGTGTTCAAGCAATTCTCTGCCTCAGCCTCCTGAGTAGCTGAGATTACAGGCCTCCACCACCATGGCCAGCTAATTTTCTGGTATTTTTAGTAGAGACAGGGTTTCACTATGTTGGCCATGCTGGTCTTGAACTCCTGACCTCGTGATCCACCTGCCTCGGCCTCCCAAAGTGCTGGGATTACAGGCATGAGCCACCGCGCCTGGCCCCAACACTGATTCTTATGAAAGTACTGCGCTCCAGAGATGAGGAAAGAATTCTACAAGCATCTAGAGAGAAGAAGAAAACTATGTGAAATGTAAATATTTTTAAAGTTTCATGCTGTGCACAGCAACATTATAAACCAGGAGATAGTGTAGCAATGCTTATAAAATGAGACATGAAGTCATTTACATTTTAGAAAACAGAGGACTATTCTCAGATTTGGAAAATTTTGGGAAAATTTAGGTTTCAAGATTCTTTCTTGAAAAATCTACTTAAAGATATCCTTCTAACCAAATTAAAAAAAAAAATCAAGCAAAATTACAAATTATAATTATTAATGAGGTAGAAAATTGAGTCAAGAAGTTAGAAAAAAATAGAATGTCTTACCCCCAAAAAGCAGAAGAAAGAAAATAACAATGGTTGAAATTACTATAAAAGAAATAAAAAAGAAAAAAAATAAAGATCAATAAAACCAAAAGCTAGTTTTTTGACAAGATTAATAAAATAGCAAAACTCAGCTGGGTGTGGTGGCTCACACCTCTAATCCTAGCATTTTGGAAGTCTGAGGCAGGCAGATAACTTGAGTTTAGGAGTTCGAGACCAGACTGGGCAACATGGCCAAACCCTGTCTCTACAAAAAATACAAAAAAAGTACCCAGATGTGGTGGTGTGTACTTGTAGTTCCAGGTACTTGTGAGACTGAGACAGGAAGATCGCTTGAAACCAGGAGGTCAAGGCTGCAGTGAGCTGAGGTTGCACCACTGCACTCTAGCCTAGGTAACAAAGTGATACCCTGACTCAAAAAAATTAAAAAAATAAAATAGCAAAACTTTGGACAAGATTTTTGTTGGACTAAGAAAAAAAGGTAGAGATAACAATAGTAGAAATCACGCTATTATATTCATCTTTTTCATTAAGTTGTGATCCAGTATCTCTTGCCTCATTTTTTGAGATTAGAAAGAATATAACAAGCTAGAACGTGTTATAGTACTTTCCAAAGACAAACAAGAAAAAGCAACTTCTTTCCTATTGTTAAAATCTATCTTTGTAGATTTTTTCTGGTAGAGGGAGATAGATAGTCACACTTTTACTCAAGGTAATATAATAGAAAAATATATAACATCCAACCTGTCTTTCACATTGCTCATTTAGTAATTTTATTAGAAGAATGATTTTTAAAAGGTTAAATCTTTGTTGTCATTTATATTAAACAAGAATTTTTTTTTTCTTTGTAGGCAGTTAGTCCTTTTTCATTGACAACAACCAGTTCTTCGGAAGGATTATCCATTGGGAATTACATAGGCGTTGTCAATAGAATTGCCCAGAAGAAAAGACTAACTGTAAATTATGAACAATGTACATCGGGGGTGCATGGGCCAGAAGGGTAAGACATAATTTGGCTTTTCTTTCTGTTTCATTGTATCTAAGCAATAAAGTTGGTTTATTTTCATGTCTAATTTTCCAGAAATATGTGTCCTTTTAAACATTCTATATGGCAGGTTTTATATGATTGATAGTAATTTGATTTCTAATTTGTAATTAAAATGTTTAATTGCTGAAGCCATGGAGCCCACTTACCGTAATTGATCAAATTAGGGTAATCCTTTATTTCAGAGGTGTAGCTGGATGGTTTAGTCTGTGGAACAAGAGGGTACAGGGTGCCACTGCTCAAAGAATGCAGAGATCTTTTCGTCATTGAGGACATGATGGTGGTAACTATCTGAAAACCTCTCTGCCACATGTATAGAATGACTCTTCACCCTTGTCAGATCAGGGAGCTCTTTGTTCAGGTATTTGTCCTTCAAATTGGATTAAATGAACAAATACCATGTATCAGAAGGAATGAGTTTTAGCCGTAGACTGAGAGGAGACCAGGATTTGAGGGATCTGATGAGACAGATAAGCTAGAGTTTCAAAGTTACTAAGAACGTCACCACTGAGCTAAGATGTTCCTGGAAATGAGGATAAAGAATGGATTGGAACTGAAAAAAGCAGAAATCAAAGGAGTATGAGGCGATTGTTTTTCAACTACAACCAACCAGTTAATGAGAAAGAAGAAAAAAAAATATCTACATGGCAAATAGTTCAAATCATCACTTTAGGATACTGTTCTATGAATTGACTCAGCTATTCACAGTCATGGCTTTTGGGCCAAAACCAGGAAGAAAAACATGTGATAGTATTCATTGGAATGAAATAGTCAAAAGTGAATCTGTTGAGTCAATCTTGATAATTAAGAGACTATTTTATTTTCTGTAGCTCACTTTTTTGATTTCTTTGAATTATGCTCTCTAACGTTAGATACCTAAAAGAAAGAAGAAATCTATTTGCGGGGGGACAGCGTCTGAAAAAAATAGGAGCTATAGAAATGATCCAGTTACTCAACCCAGCTATTTAATTCAGGGTCTAGCAGGGAAGACTCACCCTGTTTGGATGTGTTTCTATCAATGGCCTTCAATAGAAGCACAAAGGAAAAGGAGTTCAAATACTGGAATCATTTTGCAGTAATATGTAGTAACTCTGTGATATAAATTACCATGTCCATTGTTTTATCCCTTAAAAATAGTTCTTATATAATTGTCCAGGTATCCTGGCCTAACCACAAATGTCCTTACGTCTAATAGGAGAGTGTGGACTTTAGTATAGGGAATCTACACTGTGGGGATTTTCTCAAATTTTTGTGCACATAAGCAGATGGCAGACAATGTTGAAGTTAAAGCAGAATCCATGCTTTGCTCTTGCCCTACGCTGTAACTTCATAGCTTCTCCTGTCAAATCCACTTTCTCTGCTGGCTTTTTCCTTCCCATTTGAGCACTGCTGAAAAAATTCACTGGACCTCTTTCTTTTCTACCTCCATATCTTTTGACCTTTGGGGAATTAAAAAACAAAAAAAATCACCACTTAGTGCCTTTGTGCCATATCTTTCAGCAAAGCAACCAAAAATTAGAAATTGCCTGGAAAACGCAAGCTCAGATGTCAACTGATCCTGGTTATTCAGAGAAATTGGTCAGGCAGGTTACTGAGGGTTTAAATTATGCAAGATATGAACTATAAATCTATCTAATAAATTGGTATTATCTTAAGATCTCTGTTAATGTTTTTTTTTTTTAATCGTAAGTTGGATTTACTATATTTTTCATGTTTGGATAAGTACCCTCTATGATTTCTCCTAGATTTCATTATAAATGCAAAATTGGAGACAAAGAATATGGTATTGGTACAGGTTCTAGTAAACAGGAAGCAAAACAGTTGGCCGCTAAACTTGCATTGCTTGAGATATCAGAAGAAACCTCAGTGGTACGTATTGCCTTTGGATTAAATTTTTATGTTTTAAAATTCCCTCTGAAGTTGACTTCAGGTTAGACTGTGGTTACATTATGCCAAGACAGCCAGTGATTTAGCAAAATGATTCCTCCATTCTGTGTCGCACCAATGAGCCATGTGCCATGGGGCCGTGGCTGGGTGTGGTGGCTCACACCTGTAATCCCAGCACTGTGGGAGGCCAGCGCAGGTGGATCTCCTGAGCGCAGGAGTTTCAGACCAGCTTGGCTTGGGCGACATGGCAAAACCATGACTCTACAAAAAAAAAAAAAAAAATTAGATGCGTGTGTGGCATGTACCTGTAGTTCTAGCTACTTGGGAGGCTGAGGTGGGAGGATTGCCTGAGCCTGGGAGGTGGAGGTTGCAGTGAGCTAAGATCGTGCCACTGCACTTCAACCTGGACAGCAGAGCCAGATCCTGTCTCAAAAGAAACAAACAAAAAAATTATCTGTCCTGTGATCCAGAAAAATGAAATAAAAAATAAAATAAAATAAAATCCAGACCAAACATCCATAAAAAACGTTATTGATCTTGTAATTGTTTATGGTTGTGGATTTGGTAAATGTGTTGAAATAAATGTGATAGTACACAGAAACTGAGCCTCTGTAGAGAAATAATTAGTTGCATTTAAGCCTACTAAGGGACTCTCTTTCTTTCAGAAACCTGACTCCATGTCCTCTGGTTCTTTTGCTGCTACGTGTGACTCCCAAAGCAACCCTTTAGTGAACAACTCACTGTAAGTGTAGACAAACAGTTGAGATATTTAACATATTCATATTTCTGTCTGAAAGAGAAATGTTTATGTTTAAGGAGAATTTAGAGAAAGAAGTGATAAAAACAGAATTAATAAACTAATAGTTACACCCTTTTCTTCTAGTGCTTCTGAATCATCAGCTGAAAGTGACGTCTCAGCAGATACATCAGAGATAAATTCTAAAAGTGGCAGTTTACACATTTCTTCATTGTTTACGGTATCATATTAGTCTCGAAGCTTCCTACTTAATCTTATTTTTCTGTGCGTTTCCTCATTTAAAAATAACTTCTAGTATTCCACCATAATTTTTATATTTTTTCTTATGCACTCTTACTAAATGATAATATTCAGCAGCCTTTTTTTTTTTTTTTTGAGGTTGAGTCTCCCTCTGTCACTCAGGCTGGAGTGCAGTGGCGAGATCTTGGCCCATTGCCACCTCCGCCTTCCAGTTCAAGCGATTCTCCTGCCTCAGCCCCCTGAGTAGCTGGGATTACATGCGCATGCACCACACCCGGCTAATTTTTGTAGAGACGGGGTTTCAACATGTTGGTCAGGCTGGTCTCGAGCTCCTGACCTCGTGTTCTGCCTGCCTCAGCCTCCCCAAGGCTGGGATTACAGGTGTGAGCCACCGTGCCCGGCTCAGCAGCGTTTTGATTCTTTTTAAAATTAAGTTCCATTCCTCACCCTTCTACACGTCACTTCTGTCTTTCCTCACTCACCCCTATATTTTAATATATTCCTATGATTTTGCTTTTCTCTCCTACCAATGGGATAATATTTAAAGATTCTCTAATATAGTTTATTTCTGTTTTAAAAAATTAGAATTAAATTTAACATTAAAAGTAAACTGAAATCAGATAACTTTTTAGCCTGGTGCAGTGGCACACGCATATAGTCTGCAGCACTTGGGAGGCCAAGGTGGGAGTATCGCTGTAGCCCAGGAGTTCGAGATCAGCCTAGGCAACATAGTGAGACCCCATCTCAAAAACAAACAAGCAAACAAACAAAAACAAACAAAAAACAGATAACTTTTTGGTGCACATAAGCAGGCAATGTTGAACTTAGAGCAAAATCTATGCTTTTGACGATTAGTGTTACAAGAGTATTCTGTTATAAAGAACTACAAAATCGATAAGAAAATGGCAAGCAACTCAGTAGAAAAATGTACAAAGTATATAAACAGATAGTTCAGAGAAGAGATACCCAAATGGGCAACAAATATTAAAAGCTGCTTTACTAGGTATCAGGAAAATGTAAATCAAAACAATTAGATACTATTTTAAACTCATTAGATTGGCAAAAAGTTAAGTCTTACAATACTAAGTGTTTATACAGGGCTTGATGAGAATACAGACATTGATGGAATAAGAAATTGGTCAGCGAGCCATCTGGAAATACAAGAGGAAAGATAACAAGAGAAAGGAAGATGATTGATTTAGTCATCTGAAACTATTTCTCATTTTCTTTTGTTATAGAATGGTCTCAGAAATAACCAAAGGAAGGCAAAAAGGTGAGTATCATTATGCATTGAACATATTTTGATCTGAAGTTTTATTTCAGACTTATGTATTGTTTTAAATACTTGTAGAGTATTGTACACCCTTATTTGAGCAGAGTTTCAGAAGCAGAAAGCTTGAAATCTATAAAATAATTTTAGATGTGTCGAGAGATATTTGAATATATGCACATGCTGCACTGTAGACATAAAGCCCTATGGGGGTACCACTCGAGTAATTAGGTTAAGAGCATTATTTTGTACGAGGCTGGCAAGGAATTGGGCTGTTTTCACTGTAGAAGTGTTTTCAAGAGAAGTGTATTATTTTGCAGACAAGTAAGATTAAAATAGCATAAAAACTTGGATTATAAAAAGGTCAGATGCTATGTCAATTAACTGAAGAGAAAGGCAACGATGTAAATATAGTCAGAAATGAGAGTAAGATGGCAGTAGGAGCCATTATGAGCCACCAGTATATTCTGAATAGTAGATAGATGTATTAAAGAAAGATGATTCTTGATGTGGATGCTTGGATGGAGAGAAGAGAGTTCTGTACATGAGGTGCCCTCAGCCACGATTACTGTGGCAGTCAGGAGGGATGAGGAGAATGTGTGAGAAAGACTGTAAAGGAAGAGTGGACATGACTTGAGGGGATAGGTTCCCATAGCTGAGTGAAAGCATGAAGAAGAGGTAAAGGAGAAAGGATTTGAAGATTGCTTCACTTTGAACAGGATGCAGTGAAGAACCATGGCACTAATGGTGTTAAGAAAGTTAAGGCGTTAAGGGCTTAGAGAGAAGACAGCGGTTTGGATATGTTAAGTTTTAGGTGGTGTTTAAACTTCCATTTGCAAGTGGCTTATCATCAGTAAGGAATCACAGCTAGGATGAGGGTGTAAGGAGATATATTTCCTGAGGTTTTGAGTCTGGAGAAAGAAAAACAGAGGTTAGTGACACATCAACAATGAGTGCTCGAAGGTGCAAAAAGGAACCAAAGGAGGGATGAAAAAGTATTAGAGGCCAGAGGAGAACTGTAAGCATATAGTTTTATAAAGAAAAAAGTTGGCTGGGTGCTGTGGCTTGCACCTGTAATCCCCAGTACTTTGGGAGGCCAAGGGGGGAGGATGGCTTGGGTCCAGGAGTTCGAGACCAGACTGGGTAACATAGAGAGACCCTGTCTCTACAAAAAATAAAAAGAATTAGTCGGGTATGGTGGCACATGCCTGTAGTCGCAGCGACCTGGGAGGCTGAGGTGGGAGGATCTCCTCAGAGCCCAGAATTTCAAAGTTGTAGTGAGCTATGATCAAACGACTGCACTCCAGGCTGGGAGATGGGGTGAGACCTTGCCTCTGAAGAAAAAAAAAAAAGAAAGAAAGAAAAAGGTTAACATTAACACTAAACAAGTTATATTTGATTTCAATTTTATTTGAGTTTTACATTCAACTCTTAATTTTTAGATCTTTGGCACCTACATTTGACCCTCCTGACATGAAAGGACCAAAGTATACTGAGGATGCAAGGTAAGATTGTAAGTGCTGAAGAAAGAAGGGGTAATGCTATAGGTAGATGTTTTTGGGTAGTTGTCTGTGAAATGGCCATGATCCTGTTGGTTAAAGATCTTTGAATAAGGTTAACTAGGCAGGGTCAGAACATGAGTCTTAGGCGTTTCATTAGGAGGGGGCCCAGGAATGGGATGACCCACGTTATGATTTTGTTCCCAAACCAACAATCTATTCAGTTGTTTTGATATTCCCTTAGCTTTTTAGCCCTTTATTTAAGTTTTTCATCAGCGTCTTTTACTAGCCCTGATTGGTTGAGATAAAAGCAACATTCCTCACCCAATGAGAGGCAGAGGTCCCCTTTTTCAGCTATTATTAGATCTAGTCCCCATCTATTTTGGAGGACTACTCCAGCCGAGGAGTCTAGTTTGTCTTGGATTCTTATAATGCTTCAGGCCATATCTTCTAAAGAACCCTGTAATTCTGTGGAAAGAGCTTTAAAGTGTGTTAAGGAAGTGGCCAATCTGCCTGCTCCGAATCCAAGTCTGGAGGTTATATCCAAGGCAGCCATTAAAGGAATGACGTGGATGACCCTCCTCTTCCTAACATATTGGATGAATGGAACAGGCAAAGGTTGGCTGGGAGGAACTTTTCCAATGGAGGGAGAAAGATAAACTAGGGTACAGGTTCCAGTCCAGTTGGTGGGGAGACAAAGATATGTGTTGGTGCCACCCACAAAAAATAAGCCTTTGTCATAAATATAGGTGGAGATACGGAAAGAAAACAAGTGAATTAAAGATGGGATGTTTTTTCTTTCCTGTGGTTCATTACTCCAAGTGGACAAGGAGGAGGTCAAGGAGACACCCACTATAGTAGCAATATAGGAAGAGTTATTTTTTTACACACTTAATGCGATTAGATGTTGCACCATTAATATTGAGCCATGGATAAAGGTGGGCTCTAGGGACAGCACAAATTAGGCCAGAGGCATTGGTTGAGGGAGGGGCTGTAGAACGAGCGGGTTGCAGAAATGCTCCATTCACTTCAGGTGATACTTGGTAGTCAACTTGGTTAGTGTGATGGTCAGCGGGGTGTTTAACAATGATAATGCAGTTGCATTGGTTAAGTGTTAAGGATCTGACAGGGAAATTTCCCTCATAGGCTAAAAAGCAAAGTGAGGCTTCTTGTCAAAGGGGGGTGTGTTTAATTAGAGGCCCTTCAATGGGAGGGTCTTGTGACTTAAGGTGTTGTAGGGAGTTGTAATAGGTTTGAAATAATTTGTTGGCCTGATTGGCCCTGGAAGTGGGATAATCGCCGACCAGAGGGTCAACTCTTTCAAAAAAGGAATTTATAGATTAGGGTTATGTTTTCTGTTAAAAGGTCACGAAGAGGTGTAGGAAGGGATGTATAAGCTGAGGAAGACAGTGATAAACACATCTAGCATTCTGGAGCAAAGGAAGAGTTAGCTTGCAGCAAGAGGGATTGTGTAAGGTTTACAGAACGTTCTAGTTTGATAGCAGTGAGGAGTGATTCTATTGGTGAGGTTGATGTGATTAGGGAATTTAGATTGAAAGAAACAAGCAAAAGGAGGAAAAAGTTATTTGGGTAGGAGTAAAGTCCTGGAAAGTTCCTTGAAGCCATAAATCCCGTGGAATAGTAAGGAGCTGATCAGGATGTATAATGAGAGTTTTGTAAGGCTACCACTGAAGGTGTTGGGGTCCGTGTGTTTCCTAAACAAAGGAATGAGCACACAATACAACACAGGACGAGACAAACATGGCGGCCGCCCCAAACGGCATGCTCTGCTTTATTTTATACAATTTCGGTTGTGGAATGTTGCCAAGTCACAAGTCACGTGTTGTTTTTCTGACCTTTTCCTGACTTGCTGGTTTCTCAAGATGTTTACACATTAACCAGTCCCCAGGGCCTGCTGTTTGCAGCTGGCTCCTTTGTCCTCCCTGTTTGCAGGGAAGGAACGCCCTGCTTCGTTTGCAAGAGCAGTACTTATTGGGAACATCTCGTTTGTGAGCACGTAGTCCTCTACAGAAGGTCTGTAACAAGGTTAGTTAGGAAGCAATGAAAGTTTGACAGAGAAAGAGACGTAGCTGCTTAGATGAATTTCTGTTCTTTTTCCTCTGGGATTCGTGTAGGGCTGGGACCTTTTACCAGAACCCAGTTTCCTGACTGTAGGAAGGGATTAAAGGAGTTGGCGACAGGTTGTGGCAAGTATTTGTCAGCATATTCCCAAATGAAATGGTGGATGGTATGCAGAAGAAGGGAAATGAGAGGGGTTGTTAGAGGTGGGGCTTGACCCCGAGGTGGAACAAAAGGAGCATGAGTTCAAATACTCATGCTCAAAACTCCCATGTATGAGTTCAGAGGGGCTGAGCATTAAAGGCTTCCGTGGGAGTGCCCGAATTTTCAGAAGGGCCAAAGGTAAAAGTGTAACCCAGTCTTTATGTGTTTGGAGTGCATACCTGGTGAGGGTGCTTTTTAGAATGCCATTCATTTTTTCAACCTTTCCTGAAGATTGAGGTTGATAGGGGATGTGTAGCTTCCAGGTGATTCGTAGGGTTTGTGCAAGTGTTTGAGTAATTTGAGAAATGAATTCAGGACCATTTTCAGATTGAAAAGAAAGAGGCACCCTGAACCAGGGGATGATTTCTGTTATTAATTTGGAGGTGACAGTCGAAGCTCATTTCTTGGTTGTCGGAAAAGCCTCAACCCATCCTGAAAAGGTATCAACCAGAACCAAAAGAAATCGAACCTTTTTTACTGGGGGCATATGGGTAAAATCAATTTGCCAGTCTTGTCTTGGAAGGTTCCCTGTCTTGATGGGTTGGAAAAGAAGGGAGTCTAGTGTTGAAGTGGGGTGAAGCTTTCTGGCAAATAGAGCATTGATGGAAAATGGCTTTCAACTGTTCCTTTATATCTGGGTTTATGTGTATGTGGAAACTTAAGAAATGTTGTAGAGGGGAATGGCTAGTGTGGAAGAGGTTGTGGATATCCCATAACAGAGTTTTTTTGTTTTTTTGTTTGTTTGTTTTTTTGAGACAGAGTCTTGCTCTGTCGCCCAGGCTGGAGTGCAATGGCATGATCTCAGCTCACTGCAACCTCCACCTCTGGAGTTCAAGGGATTCTCCTGCCTCAGCCTCTGGAGTAGCTGGGATTACAGGCGCGCACCACTACGGCTGGCTAGTTTTGTATTTTTAGTAGAGACAGGGTTTCACCATGTTGGTCAGGCTGGTCTCAAACTCCTGACCTCGTGATCCACCCACCTTGGCCTCCCAAAGTGTTGGGATTACAGGCGTGAGCCACTGCGCCTGGCCAAGAGTTGTTTTTTCAGGGTCAGGTAGGACTAATTTGTTTTGTATGAACCAGTATGGGAGTTTGAATTGTGCCCCTGCTGTGATTAGTTGTTGTATTTGGTGTTCGGGATAAAAGGAGGGGATATGTTGTGTGAGGGGAAATAGATATTAGAGAATTGGATGATGGGTTGAGGTGTGTTTTGCCCAGTAGTCAACCTCACAGTTCCCTAAAGAAATGTGGCTTTTATCTGATTGATGTCATTTGTAATGGATAACTGCAACCTTTTCTGGAAGTAGAGCAGCCTTTAATAGAGGATGGATTAGTTTTCCATTAATGATAGGAGTTCCCTTAGCTGTGAGATAGCCCCTCTTGCTCCAAATTTGGGCATTGGAATGGTTGATGTTATAGGCATATTTAGAATCGGTGGTATATATTAACTTGTGTGTTTTTTGCTAGGGTTAATGCTCTTATTAGGGCAACTAATTCTGCTTGTTGGGAGGATGTGCCCAAAGGCAAAGGGGCAGCCTCTACGACTCTTCTAGGTAGAAGAGAGCGGGTATCATCATGATATCTCTCAATGACGGGATATCCTGCTTGGAGGGGAGGGTTTTTTGATGCGCTGCCATCTATAAATCAATCTGGGGCTCCCTTTATGTGAGTGGAAGTAAGGTGGCAAAACATGGTGCGAGAACTTTCAATTAGATCAGAGCATGAGTGTTGGTCAGGGTCCAAAATCAGTGTTGAAGATAAAAGAGTAGCAGGATTGGGGGGTGAGCATCTATGAAGAGAGATGGAGGGCTGAAGGAGGGTTGAATGTAGGGCTTGCATGCGAGAGGATGAGATGGAGGTGAGCACCTTACGGCTGAGCATATCTTGTAGACTGTGAGAAGAAAATACCTGACGAGGTTCGTAGAATGTGAGTTTGTGCCTCAGGGATAATTAAAGAGGCTGTGGCAAAAATTTTTAAGCAAAGGTGCCAGGTTTTGTAAATGGGGTCTAGTTGTTTTGAAGAATATGCCACTGGTTGGAGGGAATCTCCCATGGATTGGGCTAAGAGTCCAAGGGCCTGATTATGAGAACTGTGTAAATATAGATGAAAAGTTCTTAGGAGGTTTGGAAGGCCTAAAGTGGGGGGTCTGTAATAAGGCACATTTTAGGTGACAGAAAGCATGATAAAGGTCTGGGGTGGGAGTGAGTGGTTGGTCAAGATTTCCTCTTGTGTGTTCATAAAGAGGTTTAGTGACAGTGGCAAAATTTGCTATCTATCATCAGAAATATCCCACTAATTTGAGGAAAGAAAGTAAGTCCCTTTTTGTCTTAGGAAATGGGATTTGTTGAATGCCTTGCTTTCATGCTAGTGGAATTTCCTGGGTATTTGGAGTTATAATTAATCCTAGCTATGAAACATTTGGAGAGGTTAATTGGGCCTTCCTTTTGGATACCTGGTACCCACATTCAGCCAACAAATTTAAAAGCCTGGCTGTGTGTTGAATACAATGTTCTAGAGAGGGACTACAAAGAAGTAAATTGTCCATATATTGAAACAAGACGCTGGGTCGTAGAGGTAGTTGGGAATGGTCTAATCGAAGCGCCTGACCAAAATACTGAGGGCTGTCCCTAAACCCCTGGGGGAGGACAGTCCAGGTGAGTTGTTGGGAGTAGCATGTATCAGCGTCAGTCCAAGTGAAAGCAAAAAGGTTTTGAGAGGAGGA